AACAACCCCAGAGCCAGGAGAAATTACAGCTACGTTGACGTTACTTTGAATCGCGGGGGTAAGCTAAACCGTTAGCAAGTAGCTATAGCTAGCCAGATATATTAAATAAACACTTTGTCATACAATCTAAATGTAATGTTTTTTAGCGTTACCTGGTGATTTCAAAGAAAGCTCTCTGGGAAATGTTGACTTACTGTTCGACATGAAGCTAGAAGCTACCTTACAGTACACAGTTGATCCTGAGTCCCGTCAGATAAAGTGTTTCATAGTTAGCTTAGCTAAGCATCAACCTAGGACTGCCATAACAACACCTGCATTTAAATGTGCAACCTCTTTTTGTGACAGATTTTTGCATGAAATTATAATTCTTCTGAATGATATTCCTATTGACAGCTAGTTTCTATGTGAACATTATGAGATGGACAGCCAGTGTGTAGTGAGAACGAGCTAGAGTGAGGGGGGCCCCCAAGCCAAAGCTCGCTTAGGGCCCCCAAAGGTCTAGGGCCGGCCCTGCACACACACACACACACACACACACACACACACACACACACACACACACACACACACACCCTCACACACACACACACACACACACACACACACACACACTCACACACTCACACACACACACACACACACACACACACACACACACACACACTCACACACTCACACACACACTCACACACACACACACACACACACACTCACACACACACACACACACACACACACACACACACCTCTCATTCTGTGTTTGTTGAGATGTAATTTATTGATTTAAAAGTGAGAAATTGTTTTTTTACATCAGTGTGTAAACAAAGCAATACATCAAATAAAATAATAAATAAAATAAAATGTATTATAAAGAAATATAATGAAAAGAATAAAAAACGTTGTGGGATAGAATGGGAATATCATATCTTGCAAGCCTTTATTATCGTGCGTCCCTACTTCCTGTTTCCTGTTGTAGTTTCTTTACTCTCGTGTTTGCTCGCCCACAGAGAGGGTCTCTTCTCTCTCTCTTTCCCCCCCCTCCTCCCCCCTGCTGAGGGACTTCTTCTTCTCCTTCTTCACACTCAGTTTGTTCAGAGACAGCGGCCGTTTCTCAATCGCGAGGATATTGGCTTCCAAGCCAATATTTCAAGCATGCTACGTCATCGAGTGCCGCCGAAGTACTGTTCCAATCTCCAGCATACTTGGAATTCCACCGAGGCCGCGTCCTTGGTTTGGGGGAGATTTCGAGGCTGCACATGAGTAGACTCCGCGGTCTTAAAATCCCCACAATGCTTTGCGCACGGACCAATTTCCCCAAATCTGTGGCGGAAGATGTAAGAGGCGGGGCCTCTCATATGACGCACACCTGCACACTTGCTAGCCTGTTCCACTCTTCGTTTTCCAAATGCCAGGAAGTATTCTTGACTCGCTTCTGAAGCAAGATGCTCGGCTCGGCTGTGCTACCAAGCAAGCGTACTCGCGATTGAGAAACGGCCAGCTTCTTCTTTGGTTTTATGAACGGCAGCCCCCCCCTCAGCTGCTTCCAGGTGCTGCTCAGAGACTTCTTCTTCTACTTCTTCTACTGCCAAATAAAGGTACGCTTGGAGGAGGCGGCCCCCATACCTGCAGGAACAACAACAACAACAACAACAACAAGATTAAAGGGGCCGTCTCCTGCTGAGGTTCAGGTGTATATTTACAGGTGCAATACTTTAGTACTTTTACTTGTACTCTGGTACTTCCAGTTTTACTGAGATCTGAGTACTTGGGTTTAAAAACATCTGATATGAAAATAAAACCAGATAAAACTAAAAAACATATTTTTAAACACAATAAAACACGATCTTAACATTTGTTTTACTAGCATCTCTTAGAAAATAAATGTGTCTGTTGTCTTACTCTTTAGTTTTATACATCTGAACATTTCAGTCTTAACTAATTCTGTTTTAAACCGGCAGGTTCTTACACAGTACCAGCGATAAACAAAGGGCGTATATCTTTACTTCATGAAACAGTAGAGAAGCATTGTTGAAATAAATGGCACAAAATAGTTAGTAGACTCAAAACTACTCTAAAATAACTCCTTAAATGTTAAAGATAAATGAAGTTTGAATACCAGCAGGTTCGAGCAAAGTGTAGAAAAATATGAGTTAAAGTACAGCATAATTTGTCCTCAACACACACACCTGATTTCCTCTCTTCAGTGTGTGTCCAGAAGCCGGGTCCTTCTTTATCATCGTTCATATGATCAATGATTTCCTGTTCAACATCTCTGACAGAAGCGTTGCTCTCTTCCTGATTCTCTAAACAGGTTCAGTCTGAAGACTCAGGCACGCCTCAAATTATGCACTCAAAAATACAACTTTGAAATGTATGTCCTAAACACGTCCTAAAAAGTAAGCCCGGACAAAGCCCCCCTTAAAAATGATGGCCTAAGAATGCTGCCTAAAATGATGTCTGAAAAACAAGACCTAGAAACTATAAAAAAAAACAGTATACCCTAAAAAATACACCCTAAAAAATACACCCCAAAAAGTACACCCTAAAAAGTACACCCTAAAATATACGCCCCAAAAATTACACCCTAAAATAATACGGCCCAAAAAGTACACCCTAAAAAGTACACCCTCAAAAATACGCCCCAAAAAGAACACCCTCAAAAATACGCCCCAAAAAGTACACCCTCAAAAGTACACCCTAAAAAGTACACCCTAAAAAATACGCCCCAAAAAGTACACCCTCAAAAGTACACCCTAAAAAGTACACCCTAAAAAATACGCCCCAAAAAGTACACCCTCAAAAGTACATCCTAAGAAATACACCCTCAAAAGAACACCCTCAAAAATACGCCCCAAAAAGTACACCCTCAAAAGTACACCCTAAAAAGTACACCCTAAAAAATACGCCCCAAAAAGTACACCCTCAAAAGTACATCCTAAGAAATACACCCTCAAAAGTACACCCTCAAAAATACGCCCCAAAAAGTACACCCTAAAAATTGTGCCACAAAAGTACACCCTCAAAAGTACACCCTAAGAAATACACCCTCAAAAGTACACCCTCAGAAATACACCCTCAAAAGTACGCCCCAAAAAGAATACCCTCAAAAATACGCCCCAAAAAGTACACCCTCAAAAATACGCCATAAAATAATGCCCTATAAAGTACACCTTATAAAGTACGCCCTCAAAAGTATGTGGTAAAAAATACAACATGAAAATGTCATGAAAGTACGCCCTAAACCCTGAAAACGATGGACTAAGAAATACGCTGTAACATTTTTAAATAAAAAGAGTAGTGCAGGACAAATAAAATATAAGCAAGTAAAAAATATTATTTGTTTCTGTTGTCCCGCATTAATAACTGGCCCCAGCATACCCTAAAAAGTATACCCTGAAAAATATGCCAATAAAGTCCACCCTATAAAGAGTGCTCAAGAAAGTACCCTCTAAAATGTACAACTTAAAATGTATGCCTTCAAATATATGTCCTAAAACAGGGGTGTCAAACTCAAGGCCCGCGGGACAAATCCGGCCCGCGACTTCATTTTCTGTGGCCCCGCAAGAGTTTGCAAAGAATATAATGCGTTTATTATACGGTTACATGCCGATTTACAGGAGCAGGTTGCCCATAAACTACATGTCCCACAATGCATCTCATTTTGTGACATGCACACAGAAGAGTCTTGCAATTATTTGCCCTAGACTTTGCTTTCAGACGTAGTTAATTATGAAGTTATTACCCTATCTGATAATAATCCAATTCAGAGGCAATAATGTAATATAATACATTATTTTATATATATTATATATATATTAGGGCTGTCAGTCGATTAAAATATTTAATCGCGATTAATCGCATGATTGTCCATAGTTAATCGCAAATTAATCGCACATTTTTTATCTGTTCTAAATGTACATTAGAGGGATATTTTTCAAGTTTTTAATACTCTTATCAACATATGAGTGGACAAATATGCTTTATATGTTTGTTTATTATCATTTGAACAATGACAAATATTCTCATGAATATTAAACACAACAACCTGAACATTACAAATATTCGCCTCAATTCAACCTGGAACCTCTCTCATACAATAATACTGTGTGTGTGTGTGTGTGTGTGTGTGTGTGTGTGTGTGTGTGTGTGTGTGTGTGTGTGTGTGTGTGTGTGTGTGTGTGTGTGTGTGTGTGTGTGTGTGTGTGTGTGTGTGGAGACACTGTGATGGATCGTTGGAGCTATGTGCAGCTCAAGGCATATATGCTCGAATGGGAGCTGCCTGGACGCTGCAATCATGTTGCGCGTACGATCCGTGTTGAGTGTGCTGACTTTTCGTACAATGTCCCACTTTCTGGCTACCTGCATCAAGTCAAGTGCTCGGCGCAGTTGTCGGCGAAATGTCATTGAAACAGCTCCTTATATCCGTTAGCGCAGCTAGCTAGCACCAGATGCTAACAACAACAACAACAACACGTAAGGTGTGCCTTGCTCGCCCCACACATACACACACCCTCCCGGTCCTCCCGATGGCCAGTCCGGGCCTGCCGGTGAGCGTGGAAGTGTGGTCTGCCACAAGCGGGCGGCAGGAGCGGGGCTGTCAGCATCAGCTTGTAGATGGTATTTTAAACTCGATGCGCTCTGAAACTACGGGGCGGCCGAGGACAAAAAATACACATGCGTTAATCGCGTTAAAATAATTAGTGGCGTTAATTTTTTTTTGCGTTAACGCGTTATTAACGCACAGCCCTAATATTTATATATGTATATTTATCTAGTCTTAAAATGACGACCGGCCCTTTGAGTGCATACATTTTTTTAAATAATTTTATGTTGGAATTTTATTTTTTTTAAAGATTTTTGTATGACATGTGCCCCCCAGTAACATCAGACTAGATCCGCCCCTGCAGACTCGTCCTCCTCCCCTCTCTCTCTCTCTCTCTCCCTCCCTCCCTCCCTGTCTCTCTCCCCCCCCCCCCTCTCCTCCTCTTCTCTCCCTGGTCATGGTGGATTCTCCCGGTGCGATGAAGAAGAGCCTCCCGGTTCCGGAGCTCCAGCCTCTGGACCGGTACGACCTCAGCCGAGCGAAAACCTCCGCGAGTGTCCGCTGGCTGCTGAACAAAGCGTACGGATCTGCAGGTAACCTTCCTCCTCCTCCAGGCTCCTCTTCCTCCGCTCTCTCCCCGCTCTGAGGCTCCTCTGGGTGGGGCTCCGTCCTGCATCCTCCCGCTGAAGCTCCTGCAGCCTCAGCACCGCTCGGATCCTTCCGCGGTTTCAGGCTGCACGATAACAAAAATGTGTTTAAAATCATATAAATGTGACGGTGCATGTGGGTGTTGTCGTCGTCGTCGTCCCCCCTGCATGCTGTCATTGCTGCGGCGCAACAAAGCCTTCTGTCGGGGAGGAGGGGGGGTGTGTTCGGCCTGCGGAGCCTCAGCAGCGGAACAACACCTTTCAAATTCACAGAAATATATAAAGATATTGAGCCATTTGGCCTTTATTCTATCTCAATCTGAAGCTGGACTCGAACCTCTGCAGCTGGTGCCCGGTCCTAGCCTGAAATATACATTCATATGGATATTATGGGATGTGGATTGACTGTAAAGGGTCTCAGTGTGTGTCAGCAGAGGGGGAAAACACCTGAAGTATTAAGAGCTATTTAATACTATTTCCATTTTATTGGACTTTATATTTTTACTTCCCTACATTTATCTGAAACTTGTATTATTTATTTTATTTCTTTCTTTTTGTTACAGGGTATGCACAAACAAATGAAATACGTTTAAAACTATAATACAAATATTTCTATATGTTGAAAATACTGTGTTGATTATATTTCATTCATTAAAGTCTATAACTAAAGGTATTAAATAAACGTAATGGAGTACAAGTACACCATTTACCTCTGAACTGTAGTGGATTAGAAGTACAACGAAGCATAACATTTAAATACTCAAGTAAAGTACAAGTACCTCAAAATTAATTAAGTACAGAACTTGAGTAAATGTACTCAGTTAATTTCTGCAGTTATACAAAAGTGTCCTAGTTTATGTAATAATTCAGATTCCTGTTATATTTGTGTCTCAGCTTCACTGGAAAAAAAGCCCCCAGCGCCTCATTTCATATCTCAATAAAGAATCTTCTCTGATTCAGATGTATTCCTCCAGACAGAGGACTACTCTTTAAAGAGTCCTCTCCTGCTGATGTTCAGGTGTATATCAGTATGTAGTGTCTCTACTTTAAAGAGTCCTCTCCTGCTGATGTTCAGGTGTATATCAGTATGTAGTGTCTCTACTTTAAAGAGTCCTCTCCTGCTGATGTTCAGGTGTATATCAGTATGTAGTGTCTCTACTTTAAAGAGTCCTCTCCTGCTGATGTTCAGGTGTATATCAGTATGTAGTGTCTCTACTTTAAAGAGTCCTCTCCTGCTGATGTTCAGGTGTATATCAGTATGTAGTGTCTCTACTTTAAAGAGTCCTCTCCTGCTGATGTTCAGGTGTATATCAGTATGTAGTGTCTCTACTTTAAAGAGTCCTCTCCTGCTGATGTTCAGGTGTATATCAGTATGTAGTGTCTCTACTTTAAAGAGTCCTCTCCTGCTGATGTTCAGGTGTATATCAGTATGTAGTGTCTCTACTTTAAAGAGTCCTCTCCTGCTGATGTTCAGGTGTATATCAGTATGTAGTGTCTCTACTTTAAAGAGTCCTCTCCTGCTGATGTTCAGGTGTATATCAGTATGTAGTGTCTCTACTTTAAAGAGTCCTCTCCTGCTGATGTTCAGGTGTATATCAGTATGTAGTGTCTCTACTTTAAAGAGTCCTCTCCTGCTGATGTTCAGGTGTATATCAGTATGTAGTGTCTCTACTTTAAAGAGTCCTCTCCTGCTGATGTTCAGGTGTATATCAGTATGTAGCGTCTCTACTTTAAAGAGTCCTCTCCTGCTGATGTTCAGGTGTATATCAGTATGTAGTGTCTCTACTTTAAAGAGTCCTCTCCTGCTGATGTTCAGGTGTATATCAGTATGTAGTGTCTCTACTTTAAAGAGTCCTCTCCTGCTGATGTTCAGGTGTATATCAGTATGTAGTGTCTCTACTTTAAAGAGTCCTCTCCTGCTGACCAAATTAAATCTTCCTACTTTAACCTAAATCATAACAACTATTACGTTATTTTAATCGTTTCCAACCCTTTAATTTATTGAATTCTTTATGATAACCAACAACATTCATTTGACTTCATTTCATGTCTTCCTAAAGTGGTCCTCGTTCCCCCTGATGCAGGAGTCCGGCCCTCAGCTGGTTCCTGCTCTGCAGTCCAGTCTCATCCACTCTCCCATTGTGCCCATGGTTCCCATTCTCCTCCCTGGTGACGACAGCCCTGCAGAGCTGCAGAGCGTTAGCCCCTAGTGTGTGTTACTGCAGGAGTGTGTGTTATTACACTGACTCAGAGAGTGTGTGTTATTACACTGACTCAGAGAGTGTGTGGGTGTTGGAGCTATATATTGCTTTATAGTATTTAATAGTTAAAACATTATGTTCTTTCTGGTTATAGTAAATGTATTCTTAGTTATTGTTGTTATTGCAAGTTAAAATAGTTTCTTTGCTTTTATTGTGATGGCATGTTTGGGCACCTGGTGTAATTGTATACATTGGAGACAGGTGGAGGAGGGACCTTTAACCAGGGTGTTTCAAGCCACAAGAAGGAAAGCCAAAGGAAAGAAATATAGGAAACCTGTTCTTTGTAAATGATATTGGATCATTGCCCTGCGTCAGTGTTACTTTAAAGTGGACCTATCATGCTATATTTAAATGATATATTGTAGGGCCATACCTATATAAGGCATATTTATACGTGTCTGTTTTCAAAATACCAAACAGATCATGCATTTTAGCCATGCCTCATTTCGCTCAATTTTAGCTCTGTTTTAGCAAGGGCAGATTCTGTGAGAACAGCACCACCTACAGGCCTGGCATATGTACTACAGCGTCTCCAGCGCTTTCTAACAGCAATGGCCGTGGCTGTCTCCTCCTGATTGGTGGAGTTGGCCCAATAGCCGTAGCGCCACCGTCCTGACGTCAGGACAGTGTTCAAATCTGGATCAGTTTTTATCAGATCCGTTGCAGCCCCTTTTTTAGAGATTTGGGTATGGAGGAAAATAGAGAGGGTTGTGTTTTCTGACACTTGGTGAGTTCCCTGGAACACCGGGGACACATATTCATGTAGAAAAGACGTACACAAGTGCATTTTGCATGATAGGTCCCCTTTAAGTTAATTATCTGTTTTATTTATATATGTATGATTTTGGCCGCTACAGTGGGAGTACAGTTTGTTTATCATCAGAACAGTTAGCGTTTGTGCAGTGTCTTCACCACGCTGGGTCACAGAGAGAGAAGTCATTAGAGTCTCAGTGAGATGTGATAATCGTTCAGACCTCCAGAGAACCACTGCAGACTCTGGTCTCTGAGAAGTCCTCCCACATCTCCAGCTCTGGAATATGGGTCAGCCAATGGAGTGTTCTGTGTCCACAGTAGATGTAGACACACACACACACACACACACACACACACACACACACACACACACACACACACACACACTCACACTCACTTGTTCATGCAGAAGAGGGCTCTCTGCTGTCACTTCCTGTCAGAGACTTTTAAAGACTTGCAGACCATAATGACCTGAGACTTGGTTTGAAGAGACAAGGATTTAGAAAGCTTTACTGTTGGTAATGTGGACAACCCCGAGTCTGAAGGAGTCTCCCCTGTCTCATTCATTTATTCAATACACTCAATTCAAACTGATAGAAATCAACATCAATTTGTTTTATGTAAAATCCACGCTAACAACACAGCTGTCCCGGCTGGAAAACATTTCCAGTCAGTTTCGTACCGTATCACACCGTTTCGTATCGCACCGTTTCGTATCGCACCGTTTCGTATCGCACCGTTTCGTATCGCACCGTTTCGTATCACACCGTTTCGTATCGTACCGTACTGTATCGTACCGTACTGTATCGTACGTTATCTTATCGTATCGCACTGTATCTTACCTTTATCGTAAAGTATCGTTTAGTTTAATATCGTTGTCTTTAGTTGTGTGTCGTTTCTTCTTAAATCGTATTCTACTGTAGTGTATCATATGGTATCAATGCTGTATCACGTTATATATCGTCCTGTATCGTATTGTCTTGTATCATTTTGTATCGTCTTGTATCGCAGCGTTGTGTACTGTATCCTATCATATTTTTGTATCGTTTTGTACCATATCGTATCGTATCATATCGTACCATATCGTATCATATCGTACCATATCGTACCATATCGTATCATATCGTACCATATCGTACCATATCGTATCATATCGTATCATATCGTATCATATCGTATCATATCGTATCAGTATCATATCGTATCATATCGTACCATATCGTATCATATCGTATCAGTATCATATCGTATCATATCGTATCATATCGTACCATATCGTATCATATCGTATCATATCGTACCATATCGTATCATATCGTATCATATCGTACCATATCGTACCATATCGTATCATATCGTATCATATCGTACCATATCGTACCATATCGTATCATATCGTACCATATCGTATCATATCGTGCCATATCGTATCATATCGTACCATATCGTATCATATCGTATCATATCGTATCATATCGTACCATATCGTATCATATCGTATCATATCGTACCATATCGTACCATATCGTATCATATCGTACCATATCGTATCATATCGTGCCATATCGTATCATATCGTACCATATCGTATCATATCGTATCATATCGTATCATATCGTACCATATCGTATCATATCGTATCGTACTGTTTTGTATCGTATAGTATTGTATCCTTTCTTATCTTATCTTATAGTCTCACAGTGGATTGTATCGTACTATAGTATGGTGTCGTATTGTATCCTTCTCGTTTCATATGTTATCATATCTAATCGTAAAGTATAGTATCTCATTGTGTGGTATAGTATCTCATTGTGTGGTATAGCATCTCATTGTGTGGTATAGTACCTCATTGTGTGGTATAGTACCTCATTGTGTGGTATAGTATCTCATTGTGTGGTATAGTATCTCATTGTGTGGTATAGTATCTCATTGTGTGGTATAGTATCTCATTGTGTGGTATAGTACCTCATTGTGTGGTATAGTATCTCATTGTGTGGTATAGTATCTCATTGTGTGGTATAGCATCTCATTGTGTGGTATAGTACCTCATTGTGTGGTATAGTACCTCATTGTGTGATATAGTATCTCATTGTGTGGTATAGTATCTCATTGTGTGGTATAGTATCTCATTGTGTGGTATAGTATACTGTAGTATCTCATTGTGTGGTATAGTACCTCATTGTGTGGTATAGTATCTCATTGTGTGGTATAGTATCTCATTGTGTGGTATAGTATCTCATTGTGTGGTATAGTATACTGTAGTATCTCATTGTGTGGTATAGTACCTCATTGTGTGGTATAGTATCTCATTGTGTGGTATAGTACCTCATTGTGTGGTATAGTATCTCATTGTGTGGTATAGTATCTCATTGTGTGGTATAGTATCTCATTGTGTGGTATAGTATGTCATTGTGTGGTATAGTATCTCATTGTGTGGTAGTATGTCATTGTGTGGTATAGTACCTCATTGTGTGGTATAGTATCTCATTGTGTGGTATAGTATCTCATTGTGTGGTATAGTACCTCATTGTGTGGTATAGTATCTCATTGTGTGGTATAGTACCTCATTGTGTGGTATAGTATCTCATTGTGTGGTATAGTACCTCATTGTGTGGTAGTATGTCATTGTGTGGTATAGTATCTCATTGTGTGGTAGTATGTCATTGTGTGGTATAGTACCTCATTGTGTATAGTATGTCATTGTGTGGTATAGTATCTCATTGTGTGGTATAGTACCTCATTGTGTGGTATAGTATCTCATTGTGTGGTATAGTATCTCATTGTGTGGTATAGTATCTCATTGTGTGGTATAGTACCTCATTGTGTGGTATAGTATCTCATTGTGTGGTATAGTATCTCATTGTGTGGTAGTATCTCATTGTGTGGTAGTATGTCATTGTGTGGTATAGTATCTCATTGTGTGGTATAGTATCTCATTGTGTGGTATAGTATCTCATTGTGTGGTAGTATCTCATTGTGTGGTAGTATGTCATTGTGTGGTATAGTATCTCATTGTGTGGTATAGTATCTCATTGTGTGGTATAGTATCTCATTGTGTGGTATAGTATCTCATTGTGTGGTATAGTATCTCATTGTGTGGTATAGTATCTCATTGTGTGGTAGTATCTCATTGTGTGGTAGTATGTCATTGTGTGGTATAGTATCTCATTGTGTGGTATAGTATCTCATTGTGTGGTATAGTATCTCATTGTGTGGTATAGTATCTCATTGTGTGGTATAGTATCTCATTGTGTGGTATAGTACCTCATTGTGTGGTATAGTATCTCATTGTGTGGTATAGTATCTCATTGTGTGGTATAGTACCTCATTGTGTGGTATAGTATCTCATTGTGTGGTAGTATGTCATTGTGTGGTATAGTATCTCATTGTGTGGTAGTATGTCATTGTGTGGTATAGTACCTCATTGTGTGGTATAGTATCTCATTGTGTGGTATAGTATCTCATTGTGTGGTATAGCATCTCATTGTGTGGTATAGTATGTCATTGTGTGGTATAGTATCTCATTGTGTGGTAGTATGTCATTGTGTGGTATCGTATCTCATTGTGTGGTAGTATGTCATTGTGTGGTATAGTATCTCATTGTGTGGTAGTATGTCATTGTGTGGTATAGTATCTCATTGTGTGGTATAGTATCTCATTGTGTGGTATAGTATCTCATTGTGTGGTATAGTATCTCATTGTGTGGTATAGTACCTCATTGTGTATAGTATGTCATTGTGTGGTATAGTATCTCATTGTGTGGTAGTATGTCATTGTGTGGTATAGTATGTCATTGTGTGGTATAGTATCTCATTGTGTGGTAGTATGTCATTGTGTGGTATAGCATTGTATCTCATTGTGTGGTAGTATGTCATTGTGTGGTATAGCATTGTATCTCATTGTGTGGTATAGTATCTCATTGTGTGGTAGTATGTCATTGTGTGGTATAGTATCTCATTGTGTGGTAGTATGTCATTGTGTGGTATAGTACCTCATTGTGTGGTATAGTATCTCATTGTGTGGTATAGTATCTCATTGTGTGGTATAGTACCTCATTGTGTGGTATAGTATCTCATTGTGTGGTATAGTATCTCATTGTGTGGTATAGTATCTCATTGTGTGGTATAGTATGTCATTGTGTGGTATAGTATCTCATTGTGTGGTATAGTATGTCATTGTGTGGTATAGTATCTCATTGTGTGGTAGTATGTCATTGTGTGGTATAGTATCTCATTGTGTGGTATAGTATCTCATTGTGTGGTATAGTATCTCATTGTGTGGTAGTATGTCATTGTGTGGTATAGTATCTCATTGTGTGGTTGTGTGGTATAGTATCTCATTGTGTGGTAGTATGTCATTGTGTGGTATAGTATCTCATTGTGTGGTATAGTATCTCATTGTGTGGTAGTATGTCATTGTGTGGTATAGCATTGTATCTCATTGTGTGGTAGTATGTCATTGTGTGGTATAGCATTGTATCTCATTGTGTGGTCGTATCTCATTGTGTGGTATAGTATAGTATTGTTTTGTATCCTTTCTTATGTTCTCATATCGGATCGAATCGTTTTGAATCCCCGAGTATATTTCCATATCGTTTTGAATCGTGTTGTTAATTAAATCATCATCATCTTGCATTATATCTTTAATAATATTCTCGTTTCCCTTTGCTTTTCTCCAGAGAATGTTCCGGTGGAGTATCGGGAGCCGTGTTACCGGGACCAGTACCTGCAGCAGCACCTGAAGCCGGCGCTGGTCCAGCTGCTGGTCTCTCCTGAGATCTACTGCCGGGCCCGGGCGCTGCAGCAGGCGGAGCACGGGGTCTCCCAGCCTGCGGCGCAGGGGCAGGCGGATAACGGCGCCCTGCTGCAGCTGCTCGTTAAGAAAGGCTTCGGTCCAAAGGTCCAGGATGTTGACGTCACAGAAGACGACCTCAGCGCCGTGCCCATCAACACGGTGATTCATTTTACCGTTCATTCTGTCTTATTGTTTCCAATAGTGAAGTCATGTGACCATGCTGTAGTTCCTTTATAGCCCAACATTAGCCACCTTTAGCTTAGCGGTGGTGACGTGAAGTCATGTGACCGTGCTGTAGTTCCTTTATAGCCCAACATTAGCCTCCTTTAGCTTAGCGGTGGTGACGTGAAGTCATGTGACCGTGCTGTAGTTCCTTTATAGCCCAACATTAGCCTCCTTTAGCTTAGCGGTGGTGACGTGAAGTCATGTGACCGTGCTGTAGTTCCTTTATAGCCCAACACTAGCCTCCTTTAGCTTAGCGGTGGAGACGTGAAGTCATGTGACCGTGCTGTAGTTCCTTTATAGCCCAACATTAGCCACCTTTAGCTTAGCGGTCGTGACGTGAAGTCACGTGACCGTGCTGTAGTTCCTTTATAGCCCAACATTAGCCACCTTTAGCTTAGCGGTGGTGACGTGAAGTCATGTGACCGTGCTGTAGTTCCTTTATAGCCCAACATTAGCCTCCTTTAGCTTAGCGGTGGTGACGTGAAGTCATGTGACCGTGCTGTAGTTCCTTTATAGCCCAACACTAGCCTCCTTTAGCTTAGCGGTGGAGACGTGAAGTCATGTGACCGTGCTGTAGTTCCTTTATAGCCCAACATTAGCCACCTTTAGCTTAGCGGTCGTGACGTGAAGTCACGTGACCGTGCTGTAGTTCCTTTATAGCCCAACATTAGCCACCTTTAGCTTAGCGGTGGTGACGTGAAGTCATGTGACCGTGCTGTAGTTCCTTTATAGCCCATTGTTACCGTACTGATTGATCACGATGTTCTGATGTGTCAATGTGTGCTCCTGCTGTGATTGGTGCAGAAGGCCCATCTGGCTCTGATTGACGGCCTGATGTCATTGGCTGCTAACGAGGCGGTGGGCCGGGTGAAGATGGCGGCGGAGGCGGAGCTAACGGGCGCCGGCGCTCCGTGGGAGAACGCCCTGCTGTTCTGGGTCAACAGGGTGCGACGCACGCTCAGAAACACTATCTCATATTGTATTATTTCATATTTTAATTCTATAATATTTATATAATTTATTTGTTTTCTAACCATATTTTTTGTAAATATTGTGATTGTATTCAAAATACAACTTTCTTTTCGTAATATTAGGTATTTAAAAAAATATTTTGTATTTATTAAATTACAGCTTTACATCTTTATATAATGACTTTTTTCTACTAATTAATTATTATATATATAAATATATACTATATATATTTTTTTTCTATTCATTTTTGCTGTTGATTTTGTCTTTCTTGTTTTTTCAACGGTTATGAAAAATAGTTATACTTTTTCTTTGCATTGTGATTTCTTGCTGGTTTTTCACTTAAGACCTTTTTATTATGTTTCTCATCTTTGACACTCATAAACATGTTAGTTTCAGCCAAGATAGAACATGTTACTTGTTAGACGCTTTTATCCAAAGCGACTTACATACTCAATACTGTGGACAATCTCCACAGGAGCAATTTGGGGTGAAGTGTCTCAGGGACACAACGACATGCTGACTGCAGTGGGGTTTGAACCTGTGACCCCCTGATCCGAACACCAAGGCTCTATCCACTGCGCCACACGCCCCAAGAAAACAAAAAACAAACAGTGAATATATTTATTTATTTACTATAATGATGTCTTTTATCTTCTCATAGCTGAACCAGAAGTTGAGAGAAACCACAGAAGAAGAAGAGCCCAGCAAGGCATGCACAGACCTGCAGACTGCTCAGGACTCGGTAAACACACACACACACACACACACACACACACACACACACACACACACACACACACACACACACACACACACACACACACACACACACACACACACACACACACACACACACACACCATGTTTTGTAGCCATCTTTCATTCTGTGTGTTTGTTGCTTCTAACATCGACAATGCTTCTCCCCCCCCCCCCCACTAATGCCTTGCTCTCGGGCAGTGTCAATCCAACCGTTGGTACTGGAAACTTGTCCCCGTAAGTGTCTCTTCCTCTCTGAGTCAAACACATCCATTATTTAAAGTTCTGCCTTCAGGCTACGTTCACACTGCAGGCAGGAAGTGGCTCAATTATAATTGATGTATGTGATAGGTCAGAGGGTCCACACTGGACTCGTCACGTTTAAAAAACTAAAACAGATCTGAGTTATAAATCTGAATTATGCACGAAGACTTGCCGTGTGAACGTAACCTCAGTGTGTTAAATATCTGCTGACCTTTTTCTCAACTGTTTATCATGTTAATGCTGGGGGTTGTTAATGAAGTTTTTTAATCCAGTCATCAGTTGAATCTCAATCTGCCCTGAGTATCAGAGCCAGGGGGGAAAGAGGGGAGGGAGGTGACATTTATCCCCAGCTGATTATTAAAGATGCAATGTGTGGTACCTAAAACTCAAATTAACTGCGGAAACTGAGACACAAACAAAAAATACAAAACTGCTCTGCCATCTTGTAAACTTCAGCTGCAGGAATGAGTCTCTCTGACATGACTCAGCATTATAAGACGACTAAACGCCACCTTTAGCTTAGCGGTGGTGACGTGAAGTCATGTGACCGTGCTGTAGTTCCTTTATAGCCCAACATTAGCCTCCTTTAGCTTAGTGGTGGTGACGTGAAGTCATGTGACCGTGCTGTAGTTCCTTTATAGCCTAACATTAGCCACCTTTAGCTTAGCGGTGGTGAGGTGAAGTCATGTGACCGTGCTGTAGTTCCTTTATAGCCCAACATTAGCCACCTTTAGCTTAGCGATGGTGACGTGAAGTCATGTGACCGTGCTGTAGTTCCTTTATAGCCCAACATTAGCCACCTTTAGCTTAGCGATGGTGACGTGAAGTCATGTGACCGTGCTGTAGTTCCGTTATAGCCCAACATTAGCCGCCTTTAGCTTAGCGGTGGTGACGTGAAGTCATGTGACCATGCTGTAGTTCCGTCATAGCCCAACATTAGCCTCCTTTAGCTTAGTGGTGGTGACGTGAAGTCATGTGACCGTGCTGTAGTTCCGTTATAGCCCAACATTAGCCGCCTTTAGCTTAGCGGTGGTGACGTGAAGTCATGTGACCGTGCTGTAGTTCCGTTATAGCCCAACATTAGCCGCCTTTAGCTTAGCGGTGGTGACGTGAAGTCATGTGACCATGCTGTAGTTCCGTCATAGCCCAACATTAGCCTCCTTTAGCTTAGCGGTGGTGACGTGAAGTCATGTGACCGTGCTGTAGTTCCGTTATAGCCCAACATTAGCCGCCTTTAGCTTAGCGGTGGTGACGTGAAGTCATGTGACCGTGCTGTAGTTCCGTTATAGCCCAACATTAGCCGCCTTTAGCTTAGCGGTGGTGACGTGAAGTCATGTGACCGTGCTGTAGTTCCGTTATAGCCCAACACTAGCCGCCTTTAGCTTAGCGGTGGTGACGTGAAGTCATGTGACCGTGCTGTAGTTCCGTTATAGCCCAACATTAGCCGCCTTTAGCTTAGCGGTGGTGACGTGAAGTCATGTGACCATGCTGTAGTTCCGTCATAGCCCAACATTAAACCCAGTCTCACGGCATTTCGTGTTATAGTCACGAAATGTAATCTATTGATTCGTGTTCACCAACACGATATTCCCATTTTTTTCGCGTCATACAGAAAGATTGTATTTCTATGTTTCGTGCCTGCATCCAAAATATATAACAAATTAGAAGGGAAAAAATGGGGAAATCATGATGGTGAACACGAATCAATAGATCACATTTCGTGACTATAACACAAAATGCTGTGAGACTGGGTTGCAACCATAGACTGTATATATAAATGGACGTAGGGTCCGTGACGTCACCCATAGGATTCTGCAGAGTTGCCGAGAAGCCCTTAGTAGGCGGAGTCGGCCACTAACGGCTCGACAGTGACGTCAGAGTCTAACTCCAGCCTGCTCCAAATAAGGGCAAAGAGGCGGAGCCGAGGCGGGACCTGCTGCCTCCGAACTGGAAGTAAACAGAGCTAGCTCAGGCTAAGAAGCTAAGCTAACATGAAATACATGCATACCAAGTTACTGCGTGGCACTTTGGTTTTGATAAAACAGTGTAGTTCCCCTATATAAACGTTACATTCATAATCAAACGAGACAATCTGCAAGAGAATTAGCTTGTTGTTATTCTTAATGCTTGTCATCACGTTAATAAAATAAAAGAAGTACCGATACATAGCAGAACAATTGTGGCGATGTTCAGCTTAATAAGCCTTCTTCAACATCATTTATTTAGCTAATACTACAGCGGGCTGCAGGCGAACCAAGTCCGCGTTTCGCTGCATTCCTTGATCTCCAGTTATAACGCCGGACTCCACCGCCCGGAGCTAACGGAGCCGCAGGGGGCTCCGGGACGCCGGCTGGAGCTGGACGCCGGCTGGAGCTAGCCCCCTGTGGCTCCGTTAGCTCCGGCGGCCACCACTGGGATGATTGGGTCCCCTTTTAACATTTGCTCCTGTTTAGCATTATGGGCGTCATAGCCATATACTATAAAAGTCTTACCCAAGGCTGAATCATAAACTAAACTGTATGTATATATATATATATATATATATACATGTATAAAGGGTTACGTCCTTAGCTGGCTAATAAGCTACATAACAAGCTAAGCTAACAAGCACACAAACACCTGCTAACGGGGTTAACATGCATAATATTATCATTTTAGACTTCTTGGAAGTTCTGTTAGTGCATTCAAGCGCACAGCACGACATTTTAATTGTCTGGCATTTTACCACGAACACGGCTAAAGGGTCAAGTACAGTAACTACAACTAGCTAACGTTGTAGCGTAGCAGAGTGGACAAGTTGCTGTTAGCTGACAGTGAGGCACGTACCTGTCCATCAAAGTGACCACGCTCCCTAATTTATGCAAAAACTTTAAGACCTAATATAAATAAAAGGGTCGCGTTGAAAACAATTCACTCACAGATTCATAATCATGAATGTGGAATCTAACTATATCCATCATAATATTTATTGCATCCAGGGGCAGAAAAATGTTTTTTTCTGCTGTAAAGTTGGGCATTTTAACATGGGGGTCTATGGAAACTGCTCCTTTCTGCAGTCATCGCCTATCGGCCAATAGATGAACTGCAGTTTGTGGCACTTCCTTATTGGCGTCCCGGCTCTTCCCCAGAGTTTGCCGCTTGGTTGCAACATTAGCCTCCTTTAGCTTAGCGGTGGTGACGTGAAGTCATGTTCTTACACATTGCACCTTTAAACCCCCCAGTTTCTCCCCCTCTCCCCCCTTAGCTGTGCCTTTGTGGTCTCCAGATGACGCCCCCTCTCATTTATCTCCCTCTATCTGCCTCCCCCGTCCAGCATGCTATCGCTTTTTGTTTGAAGGAGTCGGGGAATAAGCCTCCAGTGGTAAAGTATAACCCCTCGCTCTTTACCCCACTCCCCCCCACGTGTGATTGACCAATCGCCACGCCTGTACCCCCGCCGTCAACCAATGACTGAGCGGCTCACTAATCTCTCGTCCAACCCCGAGGCTGGATGGTTTATTAGATATTAACAGAACTTATCTACATTGTACTGCTCTGCTTGAAAGAGCGTTACACAGCCGAGTCTCAGGAGGAATAAAGGCAGCCTGAATTTAGAAAATGTAATTCCTTTCCAAGTCTAACAGCTATGGACTTGAGATTTAGAATACTTTTCAGGTTGTTAACCTTTAAAAATTGGCAATATAAACTGCTTAAAGTGTTGTTTTATATTCAATGAGTGAAAAAATAAAAAATAAATAATAATAATAATTAGCCACATTTCGGCCATTATTAACATTTTCATACTTTTTGCATTAAAAACATTGAAATAAACGAATTCATTGTAATTAATGATTTAAAAAATGATCATTAATCACAATGAAATAGCTAGCTAGATAGCTAACATTCACTAGCTAGCTTGCTGTATGCGTAGATAGCATCTTTAGCCAACTTCATTAATTGATAAATATATAGATTTATTTTTATAATTGTCAACACTGTGGACATAAAGCATTGAGTCTTCCCAGTGAGATGGTCCTCCTCTGATTGGCTGTGTAATCCTGCAGTGTGCGTCTCAGTGACACAGTGTTCGTTTCCTTTGGATAAACGTCTCTGTTTATGTTCTGATTTCTGACGTGATCAGAGCTCTGCTGCATGGACTCCGGAGGGCCGAGGCCTCCATCACCTAACCTCACTTCATTTTCTGTTTGACACCTTTGCACCTTCTGGTGTGTGTGTGTGTGTGTGTGTGTGTGTGTGTGTGTGTGTGTGTGTGTGTGTGTGTGTGTGTGTGTGTGTGTGTGTGTGTGTGTGTGTGTGTGTGTGTGTGGTGTGTGTGTGTGTGTGTGTGTGTGTGTGTGTTGTGTGTGTGTGTGTGTGTGTGTGTGTGTGTGTGTGTGTGTGTGTGTTTATAGTAGCATCACTGGTCTTGCGCTTTGTTTCTGTGGGTTTTCTTTCTATCTGCAGTTTTCCTGGAGTTTGGCTGCCGTCATAGTTTCAGACTCGATGGTTTTAATCTTTATTTTCATTTCTTATTATCCCCCTCTCTTCCCCTCACTCGTCCATTTGTTGTTTCTGTTTCCTGGCACAACTCTCCCTCCTCTCACCCTCCTCTGTCTCCCCCCTCCCCCTCTTCTCTCCCTCAGATCCGCTACAGGAAGGACCTGGTTCAGTCCAAGCTGACGCCCACCTTCCCGGTAGTGACCGGAGTCAAAGACCTGTCCAACGGCTGCGCCATAGCTGCAGCGCTGCACTACTACTGCCCCCAGCTGCTGCCTCTAGAGGGTACACACACACACACACACACACACACGCACGCACGCACGCGCACACACACACGCATGCACGCACGCACGCACGCGCACACACACACACACATGCATGAACGTGCACATCACACGATTAAATATGTATCTTTAGCTGATGTCTGTAAAAGGTTTCCATTACGGTGGGAGAGCATCTCTGTTTCCTGCCCGTCTTCTTCTGCTGTTCCCTTTACCAAACTTTCATTTTCAAAGTATTTCACGTTTAATTTGCTGATCTCTACAAATAACTCAGTAAAGTGTTTGAAGAACACTAAATGCATTTGAATGTGTGTTTGTTGTGTCTCCAGATGTGTGTCTGAAGGACACCATGTCGCTGGCCGACAGTCTCTACAACCTGCAGCTGATCAGGGAGTTCAGTGAGAGCAGTCTGCAGAGCTGCTGCCCCCTGGCTGTGGAGGACCTGCTCTACGCCCCCCCCACCCTGCACGTACGCATCAACACTCTCCAACTGCATTAATATACTGTAACTTGATATTTAAGGTCCCCTATTATCCTCTTCTTCATCAGTATATTACAGGTCTCAGATATATCCAGAGCCTGTCTCTGATTGGCTGAAACACCAAACAGATCATTGGAGCATCCCATAATCCCCTCTGTTTCAGCCCTGTTCCAAAAGTGCTGATGCTGTGTCTGTAGCTTTAAATGCTAATGAGCTGCTGCTGGCCACGCCCCTCTGAGAGATGATTGGTTTAAAAAAACACAATGGTGCTCTATGACAGCGGTTCCCAACCTTTTTTGTCTCGTGTCCCCCTTGAGCTGGTCTCCATTCTATAAGAACCCCCTCTCTCATCTGTGACGATTTGCCAACATTTGTTCTTGTATTTAAACCCTTTGTAATAATGTTCAACCCAACTGCTCCTTGGATGAAAATCACTTGCATAACTCACCCTTAATACAAATGCATTTAAACTTGACATTGATACTTATTGTCAGTGAAAATAATTATATTGAGACTCACTTCTAGCAGTTTCAACAACTTTTGTTAAGACTAGAGCTTTTAATGACACGCTTGTCTTTCATAAGCTTTGATAGGTCTGGGGGCGGGACACCAGGATTATGAACATTGATTTAAAAAAAGGTTCTGTGTGAAAATATATTCCAATCCCTAATCTTTCTACGTACCCCCTGCAACCCTCTCAAATACCCCTAGGGGTCCCCGTACCCCCGGTTGGGAACCACTGCTCTAGGAGGAGATTCAGGTGATAAGGTGGGGGGGGGGGGGTTACCTTGGTTGGTGATTGGCTAATGGTTACACAACCCAAACAAACATAATGACATCACAAAGAGACCAAATTCTGATCCGCTGATTTTCAGACAGGTTTTTATAAAGATGGATCAGGACAAAAAGAGAGGGGGTCTTTGTTCCTGAAAGAGTCTCTGAACACAGAGGGGACACATGTTTATGTGGAAGAGACATGATGAAGTGAATTTAGATTAGGTGACCTTTAATATACTGCACACTGATATACTTCATATACTGCAGATGTATTAGTACAGTGTGTGGGAAGCAGCATGAAAGGAAGGCATGCAAAACTGTTGACGTGTCAAAATAATCTCAATTAGTCACTATTTGTTTTAAATTGCGTATCAGTAACAACTCGTTTGAAATCTAATCTAATCTTTTTGCGACTCTCTTTGTAACGAGCCCACAGTCATGTTTTTTTGTGTGTGTCCTTTTTAATACCTCCACCTGGTGTCTCCTGTTCCTCAGCTGAACATCATGAGCTTCATCGCTGAGCTGCTCGACTGGTTCGAGGTGAAGAAGCCTGAGTTTGTGCAGCCGGTGACACCCATCGACCTCACAGGTCTGCGTGGCGGTAAAACACTTCTATTTCTCCAACGATAAATATCACCGTCCTCTAAAAGTGCAGTTTCTGTCTTTCAGATGTCTCCGGGTTACTGGACTGCACCAGTCCTATGGGCGGGAACAGAAACAGGTAGATCATCCCACCAACACACCCTCAATCAGGCAGGAGCGCTCTCTGATGGGATGTAGATCCTAAATCAATCCTGACCTTTACTACTGCAGAATTCATTTAGCCGAAACCAGATACAAATCGAAAGGAACTTGAGAAATGAAGGGGAACTAGTTTCAGGTTCAGTGTCTCGTTTGAATTATTTTATAAACTATGGGTGGCTTCAAACTGAATTGAATTAAAGAGACAGCATACAGTCTGATGGAAATCTGCCGCAAAGGTTACAGACTCTCTGGAATAAAGTGATGACGTATTTCAGTGTTGGACCAAAAACCCATTCAGACAACCATTGACCTCCAGACCAGCGGACAGGAAGTGTGTTTTCTTTTGGAGAGTTGTAAATAAACATAACTTTACTGTGTTTCTCTGTTTCAGTGGTTCTCCTGCCTTCATCTTCAAACAACCCTTTGTCCCCATCAGCTCCCCGGTGTCACCAGGTAATACATACCTAGTAGTGGAGTAGAAGTTCTCAAGACTTCGGACAATGTTCTTAGTGAATCTCTACTG